GCCAACCAAATTGATGAGGAATGTTTTGTTAATAATCATGCGATCGCAGCAACCTGTTCAATTGCTAGCTGGTAGATTTTTTGTTCTAAATATTAAGACTTTCATGACAATATTGAAAAGCTCGCTGTCATACTTGTCCATTCTACGAGTGATGGTGGAAACGTAGGGCGCAATTAGTAACTTCAGAGACAAAAGCTTGAAGATGTAACACCGTACAGACGTAGACAATATCATCTGTAAAATTATTTCAAGACATAGGATATATTTAGAACTAAATAATCAAATTAAAATAAATAATAGAAATTATTTTGTTAAATTAGTAAATATCGTCACATGTTGTACATCACTCACGTCACTTTAAGACGATTTTCTAACGGCACGTGCCTTGCGATTGGGAAAATACAATCATTGCATGCAATTTAATAACTATTGATTAAGCAAAATATTTACAATATGCTAATAGTTTGGTAACAGATTCGAGTGTAATACAGATTGTTATCATCAACGTTTGTATTAAATTCATGTTCTGTCACTATGTTACCAATATAATCCAACAGCAGATTACAAAAATGAAAAATTAATTATTTAATGACTATATAAATATCACTTAAATAGTTACCAAATATATATGTTAAATATTGCTAGTTTTCTGCAATCAATCTGTGATTATATGCTGTTATTCCAGAGAAAAATCAAAGTGTATGTTGAATGTAAAAAAAAAATTATCACAGCCTAAACTTCCAGAAAGTGTAAATTAAAAAGCGAAGCAAAAAACGTTTATACCAATTAATTTATTGTGTTTTCAACTGTTTCCATTTATAACCTTCTGTCGCTCTCTTTTTAAATTCGAATTTTGCTGCAATTTTTATTTTCATTATAATAACAGTAATAACATATTCTGTAGTATTCTCTTTCTGTTAGTATTCTCTGTCAAGAAAATTTGTAGCAGACATTTTGCAAAATTGACTTTCAATAAATTTGGCTATATGATTAAATATCAAGCAAATATGAATGTTGACATCAGTAACACTATTGTAATTATAAAAAGTTGATGCACTAAATTCTAAATTTTACTTCTATATGTTTTTAATAAAAATATAGTATCGGAATAAAGGATATACTAACATGATCAATGACAGATGAAGTACTGGAAAAAAATGAAATACCGCCTCCTTCAATTCGATCCTTGCTCCACTCTACTTCTATATAAAAAAAACTGTTTCGTTCAGTTTCTAAAATAACTGTGTTTTGGAAAATAACGGAGTACTTTTGTAAAATATTAAATTGCGCAATTTCCATAAAATATGAACATAAAAGAGCGAACGACGCGCCAATGATCGACTCACATTATGGACAAAGACCGACATTATTGAGAATCGTGCAACGTGTAGCTCTACATGACTGCGATAATGTCATGGAATGACGATGTGGCCTACGCTATGACTCCCTTTAAACTCTTAACTCTGCCATTAGGCGTCTGGCCTTTGCAAAAATATAATACATTTTCTTTAGTTCGTTCTATCGTGTGTGGCTTCAGTTTGGTACGTTTTCAATTTTCATATTACGTATTCCAATAAAATTTCTAAGTCATTTGCAAGTATATTCAATATGTCAAGTTCGACAGATCAAGTGAAACGTTCGTGCAACGTGAATATAGTGGAAACAAAAAATCGTAATAAAACTTTATATAATAAACAGTACTTCCTATCTGTGTAGACCGTGATGATGATCATGTTGTTCCTCGAAATCATTTTCGGTAGCAGCGATGCATATATAAAACTTGATGCTCTTATGCTAATGTTCTGCAACGTTCTGTGTGTACTAAAGCTATTGTCGTTCCGCTTATACGCTGACAATCTAATTTGCAATTACTCTTCTGCTGTGAACGATTATTCTACAATTGACACCGAGGAGAAGCGCACAATCATGCGGCAGCACGCATTTATGGGAAGAATGATTTGCTACAGTATCGTATTTTTTGCTTATTTAGCTTCATCAATTTTTACGTTGGCACCTATGATGACAGGCGATGAGGATGTCCACGTTAATGTATCCATTAAAAATCAAGCAGCAAAATTACCAGTGCCCATAACATTTTTAGGGGATTTGCAAATTCCTACGGGTTTATACTTCGTAATCTCTACGGTGCAATATTTTATACTGCTGCTTACTGGTACCAGCAATTGTGGTAATAAGTTAACTGTTAATATTAAAGAGATTTGTATATGAATACGAATTTATTTTATAATTTATTTTTGTAGAATATGAATTTATTTTAAACATTTTACTTATCATAAAATTTATTAATAAAATTCCTAATGTTTACACTTTCATTTCAGTAATTTTATTTACTGTTGACATTTAAACTAAACTTGATATCTAATTTAAAAACTTCACTTTTATTTATATTATATATACACACGTATGCATTAAATTTCCTAATACTATTTAATAAGCATTATTTTTAATAGATACCGTAGTTGTATTTTCTATAATTGTTACACATAATATCATTTATATTTTTTTAAATCACTTGTTCAGAAGATCTTAACTGATAATCTTTCTGTTATAATTAAAAATTTTTCATTTAAAATATTTTAATACAACATTGAAATATATTTATGAAGGTAATGATTCACTTTTCCTCGCAATTACTCTCCATGTTTGCGGTCAGTTGGAACTTTTAAAAATTGGGTTTACTAACTATGGCGTGAAAAGCAAAAACACAAATGAATGTTTTTCAATATTGACACTAAGACATCGTTATTTAATAGAGCTTGCGGAACTTTTGTCCGATGTAATAAGTATCGTCTTGCTCGTACAAGTACTGTTTAGTTGTCTTATTATTAGTTTGATTGGTAAATATCTCGGAATTCAATATTTTCGGGATACGTATTATGGAATTATTTCGAATAGATTTCGATGGAGTTATTGCCTAGATTTCTATTGTATTTCGCAAGGAATTCGAAATTATTTCGATTGAAATCTATTTCATAATATGTGTCCTGTAGTTGTTATGTAAAACAAGCATTACGTCGCTAGAATATTGTAAATCAGAAGAACAAAGTTTTAAAATTTTATACACTTCCAGATAGCAAAGAATCCAAAATAAATTCTTTTTTCATTCCCGGCTTACAAAATGAATTCTTTTTCTATCTCATTTCTATTCTAAAAGTATTTCTAAGCGTCTCAAAAGAATTCACTTTTATGTAACCAATTGCGAGTATTTTCTTCGGATTTAAAAGGTACCCTTTATTTAATCTAAATGAATTCGCAATAAAATCGAAATAATTTTTAGATAGTATTCTGAGTTCTAAAGCTATTCATTTTATGCTCTTCTGGAATCGGAAAATTAAGATTGGGATTATTGGAATGCTCCGAAATACGAAATAAAAATTATTTAAAATATATTTTGCTATAAAAATGTTTTAATCCTAGTATGATATTGTTATTTTTGGTTACCTTCCTTATGACACCAGGGTTTGTGAAACCCTGCAACTTTATCGCGTTATATCTCTGGACTAAATACATATTTTTTAGCTTGAAACTATCGAAAATCGACATTTTTGAAGAATCTACATATTTTAAATTTACAATTAATAAATATAATTTCATTATTTGAACAATATAAAAGAGTAATAGTATAAGTAGATAAAGGACTGTTCATAAATATTTTTTTATAGTATATATAATTAAGTTTATTAGGATTTAGTTTAGAGAATAATGCAACACTTCTCGTTCTAAAGCAATAAATCTACCCCGGCCGAGTAATCTCCGAAGACAGACAGAGATTACAAAATTTCTACTATTTATTACATTGAAATATAATTCTTTTTAGTTCTACATTTTCATGTACATACTTTTATACTATCCGAAACTCAGTAAACGTATATTTAATAAAAAATAAAGAGAAAAATTCAGAATGCTTAAGACTTACAAGCTAATTACATGTGGGTTCCAAGTACCCTCTTTAAACTTCCGTGCATTCTCACATCGAGAATAACGCCAAAAAATCTTGCGGGCTTATCATATCTATGGAAAGTTAAAGTTTTTTTTTCAGTCTCAATCCGGGTTTTCAAATTATATTATAAGAAACAGCAACGAAAAAAATCGCATAGGATACGTCGAACCCATGAATATCATACTATAGGGTTAACAAAGAAAAAATTTTATGATATAAATCAGTTGTTAAAAGTATATGTATTATATATTTTTTTGTATTGTCATATGTTTTGCCGCAGCACATATTTTTAGAAATTTAAATTTCTTAAAAAAAATTCTGTATAAGAATAAATCACACTTAATCTTTTATTCGAATTAAATTTAACTTTTATATTTAAACACGTATGATTATGTATGCAAATGTATGCATATATGTATATGAAATATATATTTTGTATATATATTTTTTGTATGTATGTATACAAAACGCTATTGCAAAAACTAATTTCTATTATGATCGCAGCAATCACTCAAGCACGGTATAATTCAAGTGGCGGCAGATCAAGATTTGTAGCGGGAATAATTTTGTACAAGTATATTACGATCAAGAATGAATTTTTTCGAACACATTACGAACAGAAGAAGAATTTTTTTAATTTAACTTCAATTTAATTCTATAAGAAGTACTTTTATGGAATCCTTTGTTAATTGTCAGAGAAAAATTCTTTTTAAGTTCATAATATAATAATTTCGAACAAATTACTAATTCATAAAGAAGTAAAAAAAATTAATTCTTTTCGAATTCAAATGGATCAGTTGTGCTATCTGGGCTGTCAGTAAAACATTTCCTAATTCAATTTCCTACTATTTCACTAACATAACAAAATTATTGAATAAACTAGCAAAATTCTTGTGGTAGTAATGCCTAATAATAGAGAATGTTGATTTGTATACTGTGTAATTGTGTTTTTCAGGTTTTCAATTCATCTTGGCATTGAAATCGCATGATGCCGTAATGATAACTAAAACTATTACAGTGCTGAGTACTTTACTGTTACAGTTATTCTTTTACAGTTTTGTGGGCGATTATATGAGATGTCAAATGGAACAAGTCGCTAACTCAATTTACATCTCAAACTGGTATTATTTGCCAACTAAATTGATGAGGAACGTTTTGTTAATAATTATGCGATCGCAGCAACCTGTTCAATTGCTAGCTGGTAGATTTTTTGTTGTAAATATTAAGACTTACATGACAATATTGAAAAGCTCGCTTTCATATTTGTCCATCCTACGAGTGATGATGGAAACGTAGGGCGTGCGTAATTTCAGAGACAAAAACTTGAAGAAGTAACATTGTACACACATAGACAACATCATATGTAAAATTATTTCAGGGCATAAGATATGTTTAGAACTAAATAATCAAATTAAAATAAATAATATAAGTTTTTTTATTACATTAATAAATATCATCATATGTTGTGCATCACGTCACTTTAAGACGATTTTGTAACGGCACGTGCCTTGCGATTGGGAAAATACAATCATTGCATGCAATTTAATAACTATTGATTAAGCAAAATATTTACAATATGCTAGTAATTTGGTAACAGATTCGAGTGTAATACAGATTGTTATCATCTACGTTTGTATTAAATTCATGTTCTGCCACTATTTTACCAATATAATCCAACAGCAGATTGCAAAAATGAAAAATGAATTATTTAATGACTATATAAATATCACTTAGATAGTTACCAAATATATATATATTAAATATTGCTAGGTTTCTGCAATCAATCTGTGATTATATGCTGTTATTCCAGATAAAAATCGAAGTGTATGTGGAATATAAAAAGAAAATATTAGAGCGTGAACTTCCAGAAAGCGTTTTTTAATTAAAAAACATAAAATAAAAAAATCTTAAAATTAAAAAACGAAGCAAAAAGGAAACGTTTATGTCTTAATTTATCGTGTTTTTAACTGTTTCCATTTATAATCTTCTGTCACTCTCTTTTTAAATTCGAATTTTGCTCCAATTTTTGTTTTCACTATAATGACAGTAATAATACATTCTGTTATTATCTGTTAGCATTCTCTGTCAAGAAAATTTGTAGCAGACATTTTGCAAAATTGACTTTCAATAAATTCGGCTATCTGAGTAAATAATGAACAGATATAATTGTTAACATCGATAACATTGTTGTCTAATTGTAAAAAGTTAATGCACTAATTTCTATATTAATTCTCTGTTTTTGAATAAAAATATGGTATCGGAATAAAGAATATTGTAACATGATCAATGACAGATGGAATACTGGAAAAGAAATGAAATATCGCCTCCCTCAATTCGATCTTTGCTCCACTCTACTTCTACATAAAAAACTGTTTCGTTCAGTTTCTAAAATAACTGTGTTTTGGAAAATAATAGAGTACTTTAGTAAAATGTTAAATTGCGCAACTTCAATAAAATATGAACATAAAAGAGCGAACGACGCGCCGATGATCGTCTCACATTATGGACAAAGACCGACATTATTGAGAATCGTGCAACGTGTAGCTCTAGGTGACTGCGATAATGTCATGGAATGATGATATGGCATACGCTATGACTCTCTACAAATTCTTAACTTTACCATTAGGCGTTTGGCCTTTGCAAAAATATAATACATTTTCTTTAGTCCGTTCTATCATGTGCGGCTTCAGCTTGGTATGTTCTCAATTTTTCTATTACATATTCCTATACCAATGTGACTTGTATTTTTGTTATATCAAATTTGACAATTTAAATGAAATGTTTAGTGAGAACAAAAACAAGAATTATGCTTCCTAATAAACGGAATCCATCCTTCCTATCTGTGTAGAGCGTGATGTTAATCACAATGTTGCTCGAAATCAATTTCGGTAACGGTGACGCATATGTAAAAATTGATACTCTTATGGTGATATCCTGCATCATTCTTGCTACATTAAAACTGTTATCCTTCCGCTTATATGCCGACAATCTGATTCGTAATTATTCTTCTGCTGTGGACGATTATTCCACAATCGACACCGAAGAGAAGCGTACTATCATGCGGCGGCACGCATTCATGGGAAGAATAATTTGCTATAGTACTTTATTTTTCGCTTATTTGGCTTCATCAATCTTTATGCTGACGCCTATGATAGCAGGCAATAAGGATATTCAAGTTGATGATGTCAGCAAAACTCAAGCATCGGAGTTACCCATGCCCTTAACATTTTTAGGGGACTTACATATTCCATCCAGTTTATATTTCGTCATCTCTACATTACAATACACCATATTGATGCTCACTTCCACCAGCAATTGTGGTAATAAGTTTAATATCCAAAGAGAAGTACATGCAACGTAGTAATTTAATATTTTAAGTGTTTATCTATAATCATAGAATTTATTTATAAAGTTCTAAACTTTTACAGTTTTACTTTCAGTAATTTTATTAACTATTTTCGTACAGCACTATGTAAAAGCTTACAACAATGTAGCTACGACGCTTCAAAATTACATATTGCAGTACAATGTTTCAGAGACGTAAAAATATTTTTTTGCAATATTATTTAGCATTGTTACAGTAACATTTCAAAAATGTGAAAAACACTGTCTTATATTTTGGCTATGTGCAGCACTATTACTAGTTGGGCAGGGAGAAGTTCTACTTTTCGTAATTAAAAAAAAATCACCCAAAATAGAATAAAAGGCATTATGAGAATTTTCACACATTGAGACTTTTCATTCTAATGAAATGATTTCTTGAAAGAGCGAGTCTCTAAAATTATTTTTAAAAACAAAAAAGTAAGATGTATTTTAGGCATACAATTTTTTATTTTGTTTGTAAAATTTAATTTGGAGACATATGATATTTCCGCAAATTGTATGTACCAATATTCGTAAATATAATGGCATCTAAAGTAACATTTGAAACACTGAATATATTGTAATATTGTATTGTAATATTGTTGCCATATTGTGTTGCAATATTTCAAAGGCAGATATTTTATCGTTCCTGCAATGTTACAGTAATACTGCAGCAACATTTCACAATGTTTTTGTAATGATGCAGTTTTGCTATAAAATAATTGTGTAATCTTTCTGTGCTGTGCAGAATTATGCCCATTTGGTGCTCATTTGAGCGTCCATTAGATGCCCTAAAGTCCAATAGATGCATTAATGACATTTGGCGTCCATTTGACGCTCATTTGAGATCCATTTGACATCCATCACGGACGCCAAATGAGTGTCAAATGGACGTCAAATAAGCGTCAAATGAGCACCAAATGGACGTCAAATGGACGTCAAATGGATGTCAAATAGATATCAAATGGACGTCAAATGGGCATCAAATGAGCGATCATTGGTGCAACCAATCATTGGACGCCTTTAGGACGTTGATGTGCGCCCAATAGGCGTCAAATGAGCGGTCGTTTCATCTTATAGTTTTTTACTATAATTAGAATTTTTAATATGAACTCTCCCTATTTAATATAACATTGTAATATATTTGCAAAGGCAATGATTCACTTTTCCTTGGAATTACTCTCCATATTTGTGGTCAATTGGAACTTCTAAAAATCGAATTTATTAATTGCGACATGAAAAACAAAAACATAAATGAAAATTTTTCAATAATGGCATTAAGACATTGTTATCTAATAAAACATGCAGAACTTTTGGCCGATGTAATAAGTTTCGTTTTGCTCGTTCAAGTCATGAGTAGCTGTCTTATTTTCAGTTTGGTCGGTAAATATCTCTCTTGAGAGAGAATTCAATACCTCTACTATTATTATTATATTTAAAACGGGCATTATACCGCTAGAATATTGTGTAAATCTTTCTGTAGAAAAAGATAAAAAACTAAACTTGTCAAATGTCCATAGAATATTTCCTAATCCAACCTGGTGATATTTTAATAACAAAAATGTCGAATAAAGCTGGCAAAATTCTTGTGGTAGTAATGCCAGAGAGTGGTTCATTTGTGTATACTATGTAATTATTTGTTTTTCAGGTTTTCAGTTTATCTTGGCATTGAAATCACATGACGTACTGATGATAACTAAAACTACTACAGTGATGAGTGCTTTGCTATTACAAATGTTCTTTTATAGTTTCGTAGGCGATTATTTGAAGTGTCAAATGGAAGAAGTCGCATACTCGATCTACAGCTCCAATTGGTACTATTTGCCAACAAGATTGATGAGGAATGTTTTGTTTGTCATCGTACGATCACAGCAGCCAATTCAATTTTTAGCTGGCAGATTTTTCGTTGTAAATATTAAGACTTATATGGCCATATTAAAAAGTTCACTCTCGTATTTGTCTGTCCTACGAGTAATGGTGGAGAATAGTACATAGAATATAACTATTGAAGGAAAAATTCGAAAAAATAGCATTGTATACACATAAATAATATCATTCTGTAAAATTATATATTGCATCATGACACAAAACATATCTACAACTAAAAGTAACAAATTAAAATAAATAAAATTTTTTATTACATTAGTATATTAACCTTTTGTATGTCATTCTGTCACTTTAAGAAATTTTGTCATGACATGCGTACTTCTAGTTACAAAAATACCATCTTTGAATACAATTTGATAATTACCGAGTAAACAAAATATTAGCAGTGTACTAGCAGCTTGCTAACAAATTCGAATATAATATCGCAGCAAATTACCTGTTTTGATATTATAATAATCTCGTTTTCTGCGAGTAAATTTTACCAATATAATCTAACAACAGATCCTTCCTTGACGTTTTGTTATGCTTCTGTTTCGACTTTTATTACGCTTCGACTTTTATTTTCCAGGAAAGCACATTTTCTAACATTTTTTATTTAACATATATATCTTCTAATATTTTCATATTGAATTCTTGTTTTTCTCAAATTTTATCAATATAATCCGACAACAGATTGCTTGTAAAGATGAAGATTGAGGCCCTTATTCTGCAACTTTTAGTAAGTAACAGTGTCATTACATTATCATTGTGCAGATTTTATATATGATAAAAAAAGCTGCGCAACTGTAATATAATGATACCAGCACTATCGTTAAAAGTTATAGAGTGGGGCCTAGTTATTTATATAACTATAATATAAATAAAATGTTATAAAATTTAATTATAATATAAATAGAATGTAATAAAATTTAAATGATTACAAAAATCCCGCCCGATTTCTGTAGTCAATTTGTCATCACATTCTATTATTCTAGTAAAAAAGATCATAGCGTAACTTGAATATAAGGAGAGAATAACGCAGAAGCGTAAACAAAACTTATAGGAAGCATATGTTGGAACAGTAATGATTCAAAAAGAAGCGTTTATTCTTAACCTTTTGAGGACCTATTTTTGATCAATTTTTTGTATTTTAAGGACTAGAACTTTTTTGTCAATGTCATGGAGTTGAGTGGCAAAAAAGGTGACGCCACTGTCGAGTCCCTAAAGGGTCTTCCAAACCTGTCAAGGCCCTTCAATCCTCCAAAGATTAACACTTTTTTCACTGCTTCAATTTATTATGCTTCTGTCACTCTCGTCTTACATTTGACTTATTCCAATTTTTATTTTTGTCATGATAGTACATTCTGTCATATTTCTGATAATATTCTCTATCAAGACAATTTGTAGCAAATATTTTGCAAAATCTATTTTCAATTCGATAAAATTTAGTTATCCGGATAAATATAATTGTTAATACTGCAACACTCGTATTATGTAACAATAAGAAACTAATACACTATTAATTCTATGTAATTAATCCTATGTAATTCTTGATAAAAAGATAGTATCAAAGTAAAAAGTATTGAAGATCAGTGACAGTCAATAACTAAAAATAATGCAGAGGAAGAAAAATAAAATACCCTCTCTTCTATTCTTTGCCCTATCCTATTTCTATGTACAAATTTATTTCCTTCAATAATTTGAAATAACTGTGTTTTGGAAAATAACAGGGTATATTAATAAATGTTAAAATTGCGGTAGTTCAATAAAATATGAATGTAAAAGGGAATACCGTCAATGATCGATTCGTATTACAAAGACCGACATTTACTGACAATGAGAGCTGTGAACCGTATAACTGTATTTGACTACGATAATGTCACTGAATGACGATTTGGCGTACGCTATGACTCCTTTGAAACTCTTAACTCTACCATTAGGTGTTTGGCCCTTACAAAAATATAACATATTTTCTTTAGTCCGTTGTATCGTGTGTATCTTCAGTTTGGTACGTTCTCTATTTTCATCTAGTATAACGCAATAAAATTACTGTTCCACTTACTTTGGTTCCATTTATATTCGACTTACAAGTTTGACAGTAGCTCAAGTGAGATGTTTATAGTGCATCGTGGACAGAGTAGAAATGAAAAAAAGGATAAAATTTATTGTTAATAATAAACAATTGTCATGTTTCTTATCTGTGTAGACCGTGTTGATGGTTGTATTGTTTCTCGAAATCAATTTTGGTAGCGGCGATGCATATGTGAAACTCGATGGTCTTATGGTTATGTTCTGCGCCGTTCTCTCTGTTTTAAAACTGTTGTCCTTCCGCATATATGCCGACAATCTAGTTCGCAATTTCTCTTCTGCTATAAATGATTATTTTGCGATCAACACTGAGGAGAAGCGCATGATCATACGACGACACGCTTTCATGGGAAGGATGTTTTGCTACAGTATCATATTTTTTGCTTATTTGGCTTCATCAATTTTCGTGCTGGCACCTATGCTAACAGACAATAACGACGTCCAAGTTAATGTATCTATTAAGAACCAAGCATCGGACTTACCCGTGCCCTTAACGTGGGTTTTAGGAAATTTTAATCTCTCCACGAGTTTGTACTTGTTGATCTCTATGGTGCAGTGTATCCTATTGGTGCTTAATAGCACTAGCTGTTGTGGTAATAAACAAATTATTAATATCAAAGAAACTTGCATAAATTATAAAATATATTAATTTACTTTAAACGTTTCATTTATAATAAAATGTATCAATAAGCCTCCTAATTTTTATTAACTATTGATATAAACTAAATTTGATAAGTTTTTACAAATATTTATTTTTATTAGTATTGAAAGTACTGAATCATCATATGATTTTTAATAGATATTCTTTTTAATGATATTATTGCTTACTGTAGTGATGCTATAACATTTTGTTTCCTTCACATCACTTTTGTATTAGGTTCTAATTGATATAATTCTATTATCACTATTAAAAGATTAATATAAATTTCCTGAGTCTACACAACATTGAAACATCTATTTATTAAGGATGTGATATACTTTTTCTTGCAATCACTCTCCATGTCTGCGGACAAATCGAACTCCTAAAAATCGAATTTATCAACTACGGTATTAAAAACAAAGATATAAATGATGATTTTTCAAAATTGGCATCTAGACATCATTATTTAATAGAGCATGTGAAACTTCTGGTAAATGTAATAAGTTTCGTTTTGCTCGTGCAAATGTTGTTCAGTTGTCTTATTATTTGCCTAATCGGTAAATATCTCTTCAATTACACTTACTTTGCATAATATGAGTTATATTATACTACTAGAATATAAGTTTCTTTTAATCTTTTTTGTTTAAAAAAACTTATGAAGCTAAAATCTAATCAAATATAGTGTTATAGATACTATAGACTACTTCTTAATCATATAAGTATCCTAATAATATAATACAAATAACAAATAATTTTTGTGTCAGTGTCAGAGAATTACTTGTATTATGTAACTATAATGTGTATTTTTCAGGTTTCCAACTTATCTTGGCATTAAAATCGCATGATGTAGTAATGATAACTAAAACTATTTTAGTGCTGAGTGGTCTACTGTTACAGTTATTTTTTTATAGCTTCGTGGGTGATTATCTGAAATGTCAAATGGGAGAAATCGCATATTCAATCTATAGCTGCAATTGGTACTGCTTGCCAATGAAATTAATGAGAAACGTTTTGTTCATTATTATGCGGTCGCAGCATCCTGTTCAGCTATTAGCTGGCAGATTTTTTGTCGTTAACATTGAGACTTTCATGGCTATATTGAAAAGCTCTCTTTCGTACTTATCTGTCCTGCGAGTGATGTTGGACGCATAAAACATAAGTTATTATTGTAAGAAAAACTAGAAAAGTAATATCGTCATAAGCGATGTCATAAGCAATATTGTAAGTAAAATGTCATTTTATGTATATAAAAATTATTCTGAATGAAAAATTATTATAACCTTGATATTAGATTGAATAATTAAATTAAAGTAAATAAAATTGCATTCTTTATTACACCAATAAACGTTTCGTTGTCAACATATCATTTTAATAAACTCTATAACATATGCGTGACTGGTGACAGTAAAAATGTGATAATTGCATATAATTTTATAATCGTATTAAGTAAACAAAATGTCGACAGCGTATGCTAGCAATTTGCATGTAGATACAAGTTAAATATTGTTGACATCTAATTTCGTTCGTGTTAACTCATACTCTGGTAACAGATTTTACCAATATAATGATTCGATGCAAATGATTGTATATATATATTTTTTGTTTAATAATAATTGTTTTTCAAAATGTTCGTCTGTTAGACGGTATTCGTCAAAACGAGTCCATCAGTAAAAAGTCTTATCTATCGATGCATTACTTGGTAGACCGGTATTATATTTGATGAACAATTTTTTCAAAAGAATGCTCATTTAACATGCTGACATCGGTATCATCTGAATTTAAATAACGTGATATCTTAGGCCGTGTTCGTATATTACTGTTAGTACAGTATATGTAACGGGAACTAGATTTTCAGTATTGACAGTCAACTGGCAGTATTATATGAACAACCTTAGTTTTATCAGAGAGAAATCTGAGAGAGGACATGAGGACCTTTTTTTCCTGTAAATGTCCTCGCAAAATGCCCCCGAGCACTGTACTTCCCTCTGAAGAAACAGAAGACAACTACACGATAATATCCATTTTTTTGCAGTGCTCCTGATAGAAATAAATCGCTGAAATTGTTGAAATCTCTATTAATTTGATAGATTTATTTCAGTGACTTCAGCGATTAAACGGATTACTATAAAATTATAATGGTCCTTTTTTGCGGGTATTCATATATGTGTTTTTCTGTCTTTATATTTTTATTTTTAACTATTTTACTTTATTTTGTTAATTATTTCGCATTAAAGTACTATTTTTAATAGTATTAAAGAAGCTGTTCTGTTTTTATCAAATTTACAATTTGCAAACCGTTGAATAAAGTTGGAATTATTCTAATTGTAAGCTAAGTACATTTAAGTTAAAGTTGTAAAGAAAATTTAAATGAATAAGAACGAATTAACCTGTAGAACCCTTCCACTACTCCTGCCAATTTTTAACGGCGGTCCTCTTTCTCAGCAAACACCAAGTTACATGTAACAATTAATATATCTGTTGTATAATACATGTATTATATTACAGTTATATTTTTGTATAGCAAATTACAACGAAGAGACACGTTATGTATAGCTTGAGGTTTGTTAGATTTGAATGTTTTTATGTATTACATATGATTTTTTATATTGAATATTTTTATGCAATGTATTTATTTGATACCAAAATATAAAACGTAAAGAAAAAATTATAATATACAAAGTAATCAAACACACATAATACAATATAATAAAATATAACAATAAAAAAAATAGAATTAAATTTTTTTAATATAAAATATAAAATATATAAATTGCTTATACATTTTAATATTTTTGCTTACACATTTTGCTTATAGTATAAGATATCTCATGTATAAAACGCATGCATACCATAACACAAAATTCGCTATAATTCAAGAAAATCCTATTTCTGGTATTGCAATAAGAATCATTACATTTTTATTTAATAAATCTTTTAATAATACAATGTGTTTATTAATGGGTCCTTAAACAAAAATTTTAATTTTGCATCTCCTACTATGAAAATAAAAATTGTTGAATTTGAATAAAAACAAAATTTAACATTCAAACAAGTTAATTTAGAATTGTCTTATAATACTTAAACATGGAATTACGAAATTATGTTTTGTTATGCAAATTTTCAGTCCGTTTTTACCAAACATAATTACTAGTATATTAATATACGAGTATTCTAAAGTTTCTATAATTACCAGTAATTATAGAATCTTTGAATACACTTCAAACTTTTCTAATCATATAATGATTAACGTTAAATTAAGGTTTAATTTAGCAAAAACGAGCTAGAGACCCTCCATCAACCCTCGCCGATTTTATCGGCGATCCTCTTTTACTTACCCGTAAAAAACGAACTACTAATAAATAAGTAACCCGTTTTTACGGGTAAGTATATTTTTAATTTATTTTTTATTTTTATGTCTAATTATTTTATTGTACTTCGCTAATCATATAACAATAACTTAATATTTTTATTTATTGTAATCCTTTATACAAATAATTACAATTATAATAATTGTTTACAATATAATATACAATTATGAATGCTATGTAAAATATAATAAAAATGATTATATATATATATATATACACGGAGAGAATTTTCTTTTAAAATTTACCCTAAAAATATGGTAGTGTGGTACAACACAATACTTTAAACACTTTTATCATACACTTTAGAACTTTTATCATACACTTTAAAATTGATTAAACTTATTTTGTACTTTATTGTAGTTTTATTAGTGAATGAGAGAGATTTACATTAAAATTCTTCGATATACACAATGTTGTTCCACGACTGTCATATTTTCAAGGTAAATTCTAAGAAAAAATTCTCTCCGTGTAGGAACATAATTAACAAATTTTAGTAATGTGGAATTATACGAAAACATCGAAAATACATACGTTAACACAAATTTTTCTAAACCAATGTTTAACGGAATATTGATAAACGCGAAATAAAATACTATATATATTAATGACTTTTTATTGTCATATCGATAAGTTTTATAATCGCAAGTTAATAATTAATAGCAAATACAATCTGTTTGTTGTTAGTATTTTATTTCACGTTTATCAATATTCCGTTAAACATTGGTTTAGAAAAATTGTATTAACGTATGTATTTTCGATGTTTTCTTATAATTCCACATTACTAAAATTTGTTAATTATCTTGAACGCGATAAAAGTGCTGTCGTAAATATTTACGATAGCACTTTTATCGCGTTCAAAATAACTATCCCAATAATATCAAGATCCTTCCGCCTTGTAGGGTTAATATCCGATACAAAAAAGAATAATTTTTATAGTGGAGAGCGGACTCAATGTATTCCGATTCTACGTCAAATTTACAAGATCCATTCGCAAAGAAAAATTATGCAATCCATCAAACGGTCTTGTTACAGGAGAGTGTGAATCTCAAATCTTCTAGCTAAGATTCTAGACCACTTACACGATAGTAATAATTTTGATAGCATGTCAATTACAATTACCATTTTTATCATATCTTTAATATAATATTAAAACTCATGAGAAAGTATGTTTTGCCATACGTTACTAAAAATTATCTATTATTAAAAATAAACGGATAAAATAATTTCCTTATGGAATAATAGTTACGAAGGAGTATATTTAATAATAATAAAATACATGCATTATTGTAATTTTTTTATATGTATGGATACAAAAGTTTCTCGGGTATCAACTGTTCGAGATAAGTCGAACTCAATAATAACGGGATTCTAAAAAACTTTTATACCGAAAAATGTATTATATAAAATTTAACAATTCCTTATTTTTTTGTATTTTTCAAAAATTTTAATTGTTATGGAGTGTGAATAAGTTCTCGCCGTTTTTTTGTGAAAATAAATATTTTATAAAAAAAAATAATAAAAAAACAAGTCAATTAAAGTATTGCCCATCACTGGAGACAACTTTTTCCCATCTTTCTGGCAGCATTTGAATTCCACGTTGAAAAAACGACACTTCTTTTGCGGCTATCCACGAATCGATCCAATTTTTAGTATTTTCGTATGATGTGAACTGCTGCTCAGACAGGCCGTGCGTCATCGATCGAAATAGATGGCAATCAGAAGGCGCAATGTCTGGTGAATACGGCGGGTGGGGTAGGACTTCCCACTTCAGCGTTTCCAGGTATGTTTTGACCGGTGCCGCGACATGCGACCGAGCGTTATTATGCAGCAAAATAACCTTATCGTGTCTTTGCTCATATTGCGGCCGTTTTTCTTTTAATGCTCGGCTCAAACGCATCAATTGTCGTCGATAGAGATCTCCTGTGATGGTTTGGTTGGGTTGGAGCAGCTCGTAGTACACTACCCCCAGCTGATCCCACCAAATGCAGAGCATGAGCTTGGAACCGTGTATATTCCGCTTTGGCGTTGATGCTACTGCTTCGCCGGGCTTAACCCACGATTTTTTACGCTTGGGATTACTGTAGTATATCCACTTTTCATCACCAGTGACAATACGATGTAAAAAACCTTTCCTTTTTTGTCGTTGAAGCAGCTGTTCACACGTGACAATACGCCGTTCGATGTCTCTCGGATTCAGTTCGTACGGCACTCAAGATCCTTCCTTTTGTATCATTCCTAATGCTGACAGACGTTTCGAAACTGTTGTTCGATCAACTCCTAATAATTTTGCAATGTCGGATTGCGTCTGACATGGATCTTCATCAAGTAATGTTTCCAGTTCTTCGTCTTGAAACTTTTTTGATGCACCACTGCGTTCTCTATCTTGAAGATTAAAATCACCATTTTTAAATCGGTTAAACCAATCTCTGCATGTTCTTTCCGACAAAGCATGATCACCATAGGTTTCTACAAGAATTCTGTGCGCTTCAGCTGCAGATTTCTTCTGAGTAAAATAGTGCAGTAAAATTCCCCGCAAAAACGATTTATTTGGCACGAAATTTGACATGTTTTATGGTACGAAAAGAAAATGTTCTTTATAGGTTAAAGGAAAGACACGCACTGATTTTAAACATAGGTTATAAAACTTCAATATAGAGGCGTCATCATCTTTAATTATACACACAAACTTTTTATACCGCCATCTGATGGTGAAACGGCGAGAACTTATTCACACTCC